CAATACATTGATTTCACTACTCACTTTTGGGTCTCAAACTATAGTTTGAAAAACACCGGTTTAAGGGATTGGTGGAACAGGTAAGGGCTAGTGAAGGGTGGAAAGTGGGGTGAAGAAAGAGATTTAGTTCAAAGCATAGACTAAACTGGACTTGAGAGCAGTAAAATTAAGTACCTGAATCAGGGCTCCTTTCTACAATGTGGACTGAATAGTAAGCAATAAGAGTGCCGTTGTGAATAATGCTGCCATGAATATAGGAATGCAGAGATCTTTTCAAATTAGTGTTTCTGTTTCACTCAGATAAGTACCCACAAGTGGAATTTCTGGGTTGAATGGTAGTTCTATTTTTGATTTTTTGAGGAACCTTCATACTGTTTTCCATAGTGGTTGTACCAACTTACATCCCCACCAACAGTGCATGCAGTTCCCTTTTCTCCACAGCCTCTTCAACACTGTTTCTTGTCTTTTTTATAATAGCCAATCTAATAGGTGTTAGGTAATTTCATTGCGTGTTTTTGTGTTGGTTTTTTTTTTTGCATTTCCCTGATAATTAGTAATGTTGAACATCTTTTGATGTGCCTGCTGGCCATCTGCATATCTTCTTTGGAAAAATGTCTTATTTAGATCCTTTGCCCATTTTTAAATCGAATTTCATTTGTTTGTTTGTTATTGCTGTGAGTTGTTTGAGTTCTTTATATATTTTGGACATTAACCCCTTGTCAGATATATGATTTGCGTACATATATGTAAGTAGGTAACACATTCAGTAGGTTCCCTTCTTATTTTGTTGATGGTTCCCTTTGCTTTGCAGAAGGTTTTAGTTTGATGTAGTCTCACTTGTTTATTTTTGCTTTTGTTGCCTTTGATTTAGAGTCAGATCCAAAAAATCATTACCAAGACCTATGGCAAAGAATCTATTGCCTGTATTTTCTTCTGGGAATTTTATGGTGTCAAGTCTGACATTCAAGTCTTTAATACATTTATGAGTTAATTTTTGTGTATGGTATAAGAGAGTGGTTTGGTTTCATTCTGTTGCATGTATCTGTCTAATTTTCTCACCACCATTTATCAAAGAGACTGTCCTTTCTCTCATTTTGCTTGGCTCCTTTGTCATAAATTAATTAACTATATATGTGTGGATTTATTTATGGGCTCTTTACTCTGTTCCATTGATCAATGTGTCTGTTTTTATGCCAATACTATACTTTTTGATTACTATAGCTTTGTAGTATAGTTTAAAATCATGGAATGTGATACCTTCCACTTTGTTCTTCTTTCTCAAGATTGCTTTGGCTATTCAGGGTATTTGTGGTTCCATACAAATTTTAGAGTTATTTGTTCTAGTTCTATGAAGAATACCATTGGAATATTGATAGGGATTACATTGAGTCTGTAGATTGCTTTGAGTAGTATGGACATTACTTATAATAACCTAAGTGTCCATCAATAGGTGAATGGATAAAGAAGATGTGGTATATATTGCAACAACGTGGATAGAACTTGAGAATATTATGCTAAGTGACATAAGTGAAATAGTCAGATGAACAGACACCATATGATTTTACTTACATGTAGAATCTAAAAACCAAAACACAGGTATAAACAAAACAACAAAATTCATAGATACAGAGAGCAGATTAGTGATTGTCAGAGGGGAAGGGAATTAAGGGGTGGGTGACATAGGTGAAGGGGTTCAATTGTGTGGTGATGGATGGTAACTAGACTTATTGTGGCAATCACTATAATGTATATAAAGATCAAATTATTATGCTATACACCTCAAACTAATATAATGTTATATACCAATTTGACCTGAACCAGAAAAAAAAGAGTACCTAAGCAGATATACTATTTTGGTTTACAGTTGTACTTACCTTGTCAAGAATAATTATTTGTTTGTAGGAATGAGTTTTCCTTAGGTAATTATAGTCATTCTGTTCTACTTTTAGTAAGAAATAACATTTCTAAGCTCTACGGTGGTAAAATAGAACCTCATTTATTATTTCTTCTAGAATTTCTATGTAGATTTGTAGCTACCTGCAATTCTTTATAAATTGATATTGACAGTCAGAAGGTCTTACTATCAACAGCTGCTTATCGTTTGTAATTGGACCATGAATCCGAGGCTGCTTCCTGTTTGGCTAATGCTCCCTCTTTGGGGCATTAGTGGAAGCTTCCGTTTTACCTTCTGCACAGCAGGGCTGCTTTCTCCTGGTTTATTGTTAACTTTCAAGCGATCACACTTAGGCTCTGGTCTCATCCTTGCGAAGGAGGTTGCCTATTTGGTGGATTAGAGGAAGATTCTGAAAAGTAAGATAATGGGCCAGGAGAAGATTTTCTGGGATAAAAGGCTCCTAAGGGCTCTGACAATATGGAGGAGAAAAGAAATGGAAAGAGAAGGAACCAGATTTCCCTGGTTCGGGTATTAGTTTAAGGTGAGTGTGACCTCGATTTATAACGAGTGTGCAATTTGATGCTCAGTAGAATTGGGTCCTTAATATTTATACCACGTTGTGTAAGTGCTGTCCTTCCAAGTGCTTTCTTAAATCCTCTTAACTTATAAATGACAGCTTTGATTTCTTTAAAAAAAATCTTTCATTTATCCAGCCTAAGATAGTAAACAATAGATGCTGAATGCCCTCCTCCCATGGCAGCCCTCAAGACTGAGACTTATGTTCTGGAGAGTTGATTGCTGTGCTTTTGAGCTTATTAAGGTGGTGTGTAACTGAGGGGTGGAGGGCACGCTGATGCCGCATTGTTGGTGCCAAGGCAGCTCCTGGAGTACCGCATGACGGTCCGCTCAGCAGTGCTCAGTAGGGAAGATGAAACTACACGCCCATTTGGAGTGATCAGTGCTACTTTTTTTCTAGTGAGCAAAATGTTAGGGAGTTAGACTTTCGCCTAAATGATTTTGGATTCAATTTCTGCAGAAGGACCCCGAGCTTGCTGTAGTGGAAAGAGTGTGAGCTCATGAAACTACCTGTTAGGTGTTGTGGGTCATCCCCGCCGCGCCCCAGCTACTTGGTGACATCTGTTATTTTATGTCTTCATTACAAATGCCCCCTCTCTCTGGGGCCTTCAGGACACAAGCAGAGAAGAGAGAAGAATTAAAAATGAAGCTCAGTTCTGGTCAATGTGAATCACTGGGTCCTCGGGGGATGTCACTTATGCAGGAGATGTTTATTAAGTGCGCGCAGGTGCTAGACTAGTACATCGCATTGGAGTAATAAGGAAAAAGACAGCCTGTGTCCCAGTGCTGGGGTCCCAGGACAGGACTAAGTGCCAGGAGTCAGTAACTACAGACACTGGGAGACACAGGATAGAAGCAGCCTGTTTCAGAAGCTGGGGCAGCCCATGAGATGCACTCTTCTCAAGGTAATTTATTTGCCAAGTGGTTGATGCTTACGTTTCCTTTGCTATATTTGGGCCACAGAGAGCCCTTTGAAGTGGCTCCGATGACACAGTGGTGTGTCGAGTATTTGAATATATCACAACATTGGTGCTGAGCTGGTGGGGGAAGGGTGTCTGCCCTCTGAGGCCGTTCTCAGACCACCCAGGGCACTGCTGGTGAGTTGTCAATGGTTCTGAGAGAGCGGGTTGACATGCAGTGTGCAGGCATGCCTTGCTCAGGAAAAAGAAAACAGGTACAACTGACTTGATAATCTCTTACCCACCTGGACTCATGGACCTAGAATATACATAAGAACCAAGAAATTCGTGGAAGTAATTGAAGCCATAATGCACAGATGTGTCCGCACAGGCCCATCTGCACGTATACAAGCAGATTTGGAGACCTAGTTTCTAAACTGCTTTGTGGGTTTTGAAAGCAGAAAATTACAAGGGGAAGAGAAATGTATATAAAAGGAATAGCCCAGTAACAGTACGATCAAGTGACAGTTACCCCTTTTAAAGGGAGAAATAAAGAAGATGGAAAACTGAAAAAGAGAAGATGTAATCCCGCTGAAAGTACCGCCAGCCATTTCCTGTGTCATCAGGCAGCGGAGACGGCCAAGAGCTCTAGGGCATGGGATTGGAGTCGGAAGTTTTGAAGTTTCCCTAGTGATTTTCATGCAGCCCTGTTTGCGTATTTCTGTACTACAGACCATAAGGCAGTTGATGTCCCCTGTTCAGCAAGAGATGTTACATTCTGCTTTTAGGAAGACAGATGTATGCTAGCTCTTAAAATATTCCCAGTCACGATGGTAACGTTAATTTCTTGATGCTTTAAGCATCACATCCTTAGCTCTTTGAAAAACTTAACTCTTTAGAGCGTTCTGTTTCCTGAAAGATTGGAATTTTACTGCATGTGGAAGATCACACCACGTAGAAAATACTAATTTGTATTATAAAAAATCCAGTTACTTTATGAGCCGTAAACTCTTATAGCAGATTATAAGTAACACTTTATGCATATTATGCAGTGACTTGCAACTTTCCAGAAATGCATCTGAACGTCTGCATCCCTTTGTGTCTTCACCTCTCATTTGCCATTTGTTAGCATATTATTTTGCATGTTAGGTCGTATGTATAATCCATCTTCCTGGCCAAAAATATCTTCTTAATGTTTCCAGCTCCTAATACATAGCAGGTCTCAACAAATACTTATTGAATGACTAATAATGAAACAAGTTATGCTGAGCTATCTAATTAATCCTTTACTGACCGTGTAAATACTTTCCATTATCTTTTTCCCCTCTGAGATTACATACTGAAATCTTTATGGTGTGTGAACTGCATTTGATGATTAGAGTTGTCTGAACATTGAACGGCTTCTTTATGCCTTTGCTTTTCCCTTACTGAACTAAAGGGCGGAAGCAGCATGAGGTAGTGTAGAGTGTGAATAGGTTATGGGCTTCAGATGAAGCTCTGAGGTGTGTTCTTGTGGCAGGTGTGTCCTTGCCTTGATGGGGTCACTGTGGTGAGGCCAGAGGCCATCGGGGAGGCATGTATCATAGTGTCGAGAGGATGCTCACCTGTGCTCACTCTGTCATTGCTCCCAGGTGACTGTGGAGGAGGTCATGACCACAACTGCCTACTTGGACCTTTTTCTGCGTAGCATCTCCGAGCCAGCACTACTTGAGATCTTCCTCCGTTTTATCCTGTTGCACCAGCACGAGAATGTTCACATCCTAGACACTCTCACCAGTCGAATCAACACCCCATTTCGGGTAAGATTTCAGGAGAGTTCGTTTTGGAATAAGATTATGAATATTCTTTTTTCTCTGCCCTCTTCCCCACTTTTTTTCTTTCTTGCAGCCATTACCTTTTCTACTTTGGAAACAGAGAATGCATTTTGCTATTAGGAGTCCTTTTGTCAGGGAGGTGGCACTTACTGCCTTTCATAGGACATGTTTCTCAATTTGTCTGGGTTGGCACTGTCTTCTGTGGAACTAGCAGAATGTGCTTCAGAGGAGGCACGTTGCAGCAGAACATATGGGTGTAAGTGCAGGCAAAGCCAAAGAACCTGAGTGTAGCAAGTCTGGATGTTAGAGATTATATTTCTGTCCTCACGTATTTTGAAGTGGAAGTCTGGGCAATTGTGAATTTAGGAAGTCATTCTTTAGTTTGAAGTTCTGATCAACTTGAAAATCCTCTTATACTATTACTGTTGCCCTTTGCAACCCCCCTCCTCTACCAAAGGCTATCTTTATTTAATTACAATTATTGTTTTAAAAGTGAAAGAATAATAACTTAATGGATTATTGAGTTTGCAATATATATATATGTAAATAGAGCTGTATAGGAGTAATATTTCTCTATTTCACAGGAGCTAATTTAGTGTAAATCTGAAGTAAAGTCTGATAAGTTAAGATGTATATGGTAAGGCCGAGAGCAACCACTAATAAAATAACTTAAAAAATATAGCGAACCCTGGCTGATGTGGCTCGGCCAGCTGGAGCATTTTCTCATATGCCGAAAGGGTGTAGGTTTGATTACGGTCAGGGCACATACCTCGGTTGCCTGTTCAATCCCAGTCGGGGCGAATATGAGAGGCAAGCTATCAATGTTTCTCTCTCGCATCAATGTTTCTCTCTCTCTTTCTCTCTTCCCCTCTCTCTAAAAATCAATGAACATGTCCTTGGGTGAGGATATATATATGTTATACTACGGAAAATATTCACTTAATGCAAAACAAGATAGTGAAAGAGGAATAGGAGAATAAAAAAACATATGATATATGAAAACAAAAAGTAAACAGCAGACAGAAATCCAATTATAACAATACTATTAAATGTGAATAGGTTAAAAACTTAATCAAAAGGCAGAGATTGTCAGACTGGATAAGAAAAGAAGAGCCAACCATATGCCTTTTACAAGAGATACACTTTAGATTCAATGATACCAATAGATTGAAAGTTAAATTTCTAAACCTGAACTGAACCAAATGATTGATAATACACAAAGAATAACCTTTAGAAAGAATAAGTTAAGTTTATGGAACAATACACTTACTCTAAAGATAAAAGCTTAAATAGCTACTATAGTTTATCAAACTGCACAGTGTTGATCAAAGAGTATAAATTTCCAGCTATAAGATGAATAAATCCTGGGGATCTAATATACAGCATGATGGTTATAGTTAAGAATACTATATTATATACAGTATTACCATAGTAACCCTTCAAATCAATGTCTAGGTACACAGCACAGTGTACTTGTCTTTTTATCATTGAGTTGTAAGAGTAAACAGAGAATGTGTATTCAGACTGTCTGTTTCCTATAGTATTCGACTAGAAAGCCTAAACCTGGAATTAGGCCATTATGCAGAATTATCCTCCTACAAAATACCTGTTCGCTCCTATTTCTAATCTGTAAAGATCCAGATAAACCTGTCCCTATAACTCTCCAATGCATGCATCCTGTACAAAGAAGGAGAGCCTGAATTACAATTACTTACCTGGCCTGATAGAATGATAAGCGCTTACTCCCAAAAGGGCATGACGATTTTATAATATACCTTTGAGTTTCTTTCCAGTGTGGTTGTGTATCTTTCCTTTTTGGAAATCAGAGTGAGAGAAGTCTTGTTTTTTTTTTCAATGAACTTCTTAGAAAAGCATATTATCACACCCTCAACACAACTGAAAATGGAACAGAGGAGAAGGTTTGCCCCAAAGCCACGAGGAGCTGCGGCTCAGGGCTGAGAACTCAAGAGGGAAGATTGGCCAGAGCATATACAGTTTCCTGTTAGCCCTGCCTTGTAGATAATGAATGTCATATCTGAAAATAACTTAGGCAAACAGGTGACAAGCAAGATCTTTATGTGGGTCTTAAACAGGTGGAACTGTGAGGGAGTCATGTTGTAGGGGGGCAATTCTGCATAATGGTATAATTCCAGGCGTAGTCTTTCTAATAGAATCCTACAGAGCCGATAGCCTGAATACCCGTAATGCACATTCTCTGAGGCAGCAGCATGTTTCATCAAAACTGCTGAAGAAAAGGCCATTTTATTTTGTAATTTTGATTTATTTGCCATCTGTGGAGAGTGGAGCCATCCTTCCAATATCTGAAATAGAACGTGTTTATTGTTCCCCAGCTCTGTGTGGTGTCCCTGGCATTATTTAGGACTCTCATCGGTTTACACTGTGAGGACGTGATGTTACAACTAGTTCTGAGGTGAGTGGCCTCTTTTGTTTCCTTTAAAGAAAGCCTCACTCTGTACTGCTGCTATTATATATTTCTTTGGTGACATAAGCTAAATAGGGGCTGTGCATCAAAGGAAGGAAATCATCAAGACCAATCAATTTAATGTCTGCACTATCTCCCAAGATTAATTTTAGTTTTACTGTTAAAAGTTTTCAGGGGGCCAAATACATTATGTTACAAATATACTCCTGCAAAGAAAAGGTAGGATGTTTGGAAATTTTCAGAATTATTATAAAAGCTCTTCTGAGGCGTGGCTGAATGTCTTTTTCATAAACAAGGGGACCTGTGTTATTTGGGAAAAAAACCCCCAAACTTTTCTAAATATGAAATGCTGTTGATATATAGTTCCTGTGACTATTGCTTTGGTAATGGTACAAATGCAACGTGCACTCTAACCTGTATGTATGTTTCAATGAAGTTCAGTAAATATTTAATGAGTACTTTCTGTGTGCAGCTCAGAAGGGAGTAAGGTGTGGAGCAGATGAGTTGAAAAGGACTTAATGTACAAGGTAGAAAAGGTGTGTCCTTCAGGGGCACCGGTGGGAAGGGTTTCATTGAGTGGCTGGTATTTGATGACAGGTGTTGAGAGTCAGAGTAGACTGCTATTAAGGCGACATTAATTTGGACATTTGGCAAGGAGACTCAGGAACCCCAAATCCTGTCTTGGCCCAGGTCTGCCTCTCCTGGGGTCCCCCAGGGCAGCAGCTGCTTCTGTAAAGGGAGAAAGGGAGGGTAGGCTGGGTCTGTGCTCCATACTCCCCTCGGGTCCTCCCTGGGCACCCTCCCCCCACACACCTCCTCCCTCCTTACCGGGCTTCCCGATCCTTCCTGTGACCCTGCTCTGGGAATATGGTGGAAGAAGCCAGAGCAGTAGGAGAGGAGGAGACTTGGACTGCCCCTGCCCCCCATGTGGGCTTTGATACAATGTAGGTAGAATTACCGGGAGATGGCATTCCAAGTACAAGTATCAGCCTTTCCAAAGAGGTAGTTCTTTGGAAAAGGAAGGGGATGGGAGTGTCATCATGGGGACAGCAGCATGGCATAGCCCCAGAGCTAGTTAGAGACGCACATTCCTGGCCTCCTCCCAGAGGGGCTGGCTCCGCCAGTTGGGGGTGGGCATGTTTTACAAACTGTCCAGGGTATTCTGATGGCTGGCTGTATGTAGCTATAGCACCTGCAAAAGCGAGTGATAAAAACAGGCAGGAAGGTTGGTGGTGGCATCATGGTGGAGGCCTTCAGAGTTATCCAGTTACAGGAGAATCTCGCCTATTCATTTTCTGTGTTTAAAAAGAGTTTTGGACTTTTTAGTGGTTTAGATCAGGTCATCAGCAACCACTCTTGAGGCATTAGCAAAGAACAAATCCTATTAGGAGTGAATGCCCGGGGTAGTCTGGGCAGGGCATTAGTTATCTGTCCCAGAAGGATTACTTAGCTCCCCATCAACTCTCTACCGATATGACAGAATGCATTAGCAATGCTGGGTGAAATCCATCAGAGCAGCTATTAAAGCCTTTTCTATACCCCAAAACTAGACTTTGCCTCCAACAAGGGCAAAACCTGATTACATTGAAATGGTAAACTCTCAAATACTGCTTCTCTGAGGCATGAAAAGCAGGCGTCTCTTTTAGTGTACCTGGAAGCCTGGTCCCACTCCGGAGGGGCGGAGCTTCCCCACACTGGGCCACCCGGCCAGCTGAGCCAGGCGGTGGAAGCTGGCTGTCTACCTTTCCAAGGTGGCCTCTCTTCGCCTTTTGTCTGCTTAAAAAGTGAGGTTTGCTAAAAACTGTCCTTATAGATGGTATTAGTTAAGGCTTTTTTTTTTTAAAACACAGATTTGTACCTTATGAACGTGAAGAATTAATTAGCTCATTGTTGAAATATGTACATACTCAAGTCAGGACTAGTTATTTCCTGGGTCAGGAATTACTAGAAGAGTGCATGAAGGACACATTATCTCAGGTTCTGAATAGAATAATGGGGAAAATGTGGACAAAGCCATTTGGTCCTAGGCTTTCTTCTTTGTTTCTTTGATGATGACGACGATGATGATGAAGAAGAAGGTTGCCTTTTATTGAATGGTTTATTTCTAATTCTGCCTCACTGCCTGGGGAATCCATGAGAAGAGTGAATAGAGGACTTACACAGAAGTCGGGCATGTGGGAGATACCTGGGCAGCCTCTACTTCCTGGTCTCTGCCCCCTGAACTACTGATTTCCCCCCAAATTTAAAATTATTTATAATTGTGGCAAAATACACATAACAAATTTTCCCTCTTAACTATTTGTACTGTTCAGTGGTACTAAGTACATTCACATCGTTGTGCAACTATCACCACCATCCATCTCAGAACTGTTTTCACCTTGCAAAAGTAACACTGTAATTATTAAACAATAACTCCCCATTTCTCCTTCCCCCCAGCCCCTGGCAACCACTGTTCTACTTTCTGACTCTATGAATTTGACTACTCTAGGTACCTCATATAAGTGGAATCAATAGTGCTTGCCTTTTTGTACCTGACTTATGTCACTTAGTATACAAATGTCTTTAAGGTTCATCCATGTTGTACCATGTCTGATTTTTTTCCTTTTTAAGGCAGAATACGATTCTATGTATACCATATTTATTTTTATTTTTATTTATTTATTTATTTTTTATTTTATTGATTTTTTACAGAGAGGAAGGGAGAGAGATAGAGAGTTAGAAACATCGATCAGCTGCCTCCTGCACATCTCCTACTGGGGATGTGCCCGCAACCCAGGCACATGCCCTTGACTGGAATCGAACCTGGGACCTTTCAGTCCGAAGGCCGACGCTCTATCCACTGAGCCAAACCGGTTTCGGCAGTATGCCATATTTTTAATTCATTCATCTATTGATGGGCACTGTGGATTGCTTCCAGTTTTTGGGTATTGTGAGTAATGCTACTATGGGTGTACAAACATCTCTAGAAGACCCTGCATATATTTGGGTATATGCCTAGAAGTGGAATTGCTAGATCATATGGTAATTCTACTTTAATTTTTTTTATTGTTTTCCATAACAGCTGCACCATTTTACATGCCTACCAACATATGGATTTCTCCATATCCTCACCAACATGTGTTATTTTCTTTTAAGAAAATGGATAGTTTTAATCAAATAAAAATGACAAGCAGGTTTGAGGAAGAACCAACTAGAGCTCTTAGAAACAAAAACTGTAATTATTAAAATGAAAAAAGCTGAGTGTTTGGGGTAAATAGCATTTAAGATACAGATTAAGAGATACTTAATGAACTAGAAGATAGATTGAGGAAGTTATTCAGTTTGCAGCAGAAAGAGATAAAGAGATAAAAAATATGAAAACAAGGCTATGAACAGTGGAGGCAAGAATCCAGCTAGGGCCCCAGAGTGGGTGGGAGTGAACTGCTGATTTGACTTGACCTGTTCTGGTTTTGGAATTTGCTGCCTCATAAGGTTTTTGGAAGGATCAACTGTGGTGATATCTGTGAAAATGTGTTGAAATGCTGTAAGGTATTGCACAAATTTAAGGAGGTGGAATTTTCTAGAAAATGCGTTTTAAACTAATGAAAACAATGTCTCTTCTGATTTAGAATCTGTACCAAAAGCAAGGACAATGAAAAGTCCTTATTCTGTTATTCATTTGAACTTTATCTTAAGGGACATAAAAAATAGATTTGTAAGCCATCCTTTTGTTGTTGCCACTGTTGTCACTCAAATGTACACGATAAATTTGTAGATCTGGGAGGCAATAGAGCAGTGAAGGTTATGTGAATCCTTTTAATGGAGTTATTTGTTATGTGATAAATAAGTAATAACTACATCAATTTCGTTGCAACCCAAATACTCTTAAATATTGACGCCTCAAAGTGATAATCCACTTGCAACTGATATCCTTCTTTCAGTTAGCAAAATATCAGAAAAGTACATTGAAATAAGATACTCCCCAAAGAGAGGCTATTTTAGTGAACAGAAAACCAAGGAGAAATGATCCATCTCCATGGATGTGACATGTGATAGGCCAAAGGCAGGCAGAAATGCTGACGAGCAGTGAAGGGAGAGATCACCCCCAGGTTCCTGGCGCTTCCCAGTTTAGGCAGAATTTAACTGCTTAATCCTCCGGATGCCATTGATGAATCTTCTGGGTAGGGTGTTTTTTTCAGAAGTGCTGGTCCATTGTCAGCTTTATGAACTGCATTGCCTGTTGTGTTCAGATAGAGGCTGTTTTGCTCAAAGAGCAGCTGTGTGTGCACTTCAGGAACATTTCCATCTAGCACGGGAGTTAGGTGTCTGGAGACCAGCCAGCCTAGGGTAGGACAAATAGGAGAAATGTGGCCATACTGTCTTTGAAAACGAAACAATCTTTTTTGAAATTCGTTAACGTTGCTTTCTAAATGTTTGCCTAGTGGTCTGTTATTCAGGTCATCATCATCATCCTACAAGAAGCACCTTGCTTACGTCATTGTACTGCACTGTTTTGTTTGTTTTTATTGTCGATGGAGCAATAGGCAATATGTGTGCTTTGTTATCCACTGGTTGTCATTGAATTGTTTCAGAAGTGATGATGATTTGTTTTAATGAGCGATACCCAGGAAAAGAGAAAATAGACAAGGGGTGCAGAGAGTTGGGGAAAAAATGAAAAGAGGGAGGACAGTACGGACAATATATATTTTTCCTGCTATGTTGTGGGATGGCTTTGAGTAATCTGGACTCCTAAAATCAGATATTTATTACTTTGTGATTATATTTATGACTTTCTGAATTTAAATAAGACTCCTAAACAAAATAAGTAGAGTAAAAATGAAAAGATAGTCTGATGAGAAATACTTATACTAAATTCCTCAGTGACTTTTTGCTACCGACAGCCACTTCATTTTGATATTTGACATTGGGAAGCATCTGACATTTGTTCTGTTTATTTCTTTTTTTAAATTAAAGTATAGTTGGCCAATAATAGTACAATATTATATTAGTTTCAGGTGTACAACATAGTGATTTAACATTTTATATCTTATGATGTGATCACCATACTAGTAAACATCTGTCACTCCTCAAAGTTACTCACTATTATCCCCTTCACCTTGTCACTCATGCCCACAATGCTCTCCCCTCTGGCAGCCATCAATTTGTTCTGTGTTTCTATGAGTTTGTTATGTTTGGTTTGTTTGTTTGTTTTGACTTAAAAAAATTCAACATATAAGTGAGATCCTATGGTATTTGTCTTCCTCCGTCTGACTTATTTCACTTAGCACAATACCCTCTAGGTCCATCCATGTTACAAATGACAGGATATCATTCTTTTTTATGGCTGAGTAATATTTCATTGTGTTTATGTGCCACATCTTCTTTATTCATTCATTTATCAATGGACACCTAGGTTGCTTCCCTAACTTGGCTATTGTAAATAATGCTGCAGTGAACATTCATTTTTGTTTGTTTGTCTGTTTTGTGTTTGCGTGTTTTAAAAAAATCTTTCTCTATAAATGATGGAAAGGCAGAGGGTCAGTGTACAGTTTTCCTGCCCTTCCCTCTGGAATAAGCCTTCATTATAAAGACACAGTAGAAGTACTGCATTAAATGAGGGGGTTATTTATTTGAACTGAATCCCCCACTTGTTGTAGAATCTCTCCTTCAACCTACAGGGGATCTTCCTTTATTTAATTTACTCAGAAGAAAATTCCTAGTTTCTACTGAAAGCATGTGTTTGCAAAGTTATAAATTCCCAATACCTCTTTATTCCAATATAATTTCAAGCTACACACTGGTTATATTTGATAAGTAGCTTTATTAGGTTTGATCCAGTGTACCATTTTTAAAAATATTTCAACAAAGAGCAGAAATCCGTGTATAGCTACTTAAATCATGAAATATGCTTGGTTTGAACACGCTTTCTTCTCCCCACAATGTGTTCTAAGGGTGTCAGAAACGATTGCTCAGATTTTCTTGTCTCCATGGTCATGATGATACTAGGATGCTTTTGATCACCAACCAAAAGTGTTTTGTGTGAAACGGGGCCCTCAGTGAGTCTTTGGCCACCATATTTTCTCATAGTCACTCAGGAGAATATGGGAGGAGACTTGTACTATGCAGTGATTCCACTGTCCTTCAGTGCCCACTAGGAGGCAGAGTTCCTGGGATTATATTTCAGAATTATTGAAAGAGGTCATTTGCTTTGAGAGCACATTGTATTGAGGAGGCAAACACCAAAATAACTTACTAAATACTAGTTCTTTAGTAGAGGTTTGTGAGCATAGCGGAGGGAGAAGCTGTCTTGGAGTAGGTAGCCTGGAAGCCTTCCTGGAAAAGGTAACACTGAAGCTGGATTTTGTAGGATGACAAGGCATTTGTCATGCAGGGAAAGCACCTTTTGGGTGAAGGTCACAGTGGGTGCAGAGGCACAGAGGCAAAGAGGGATAGGATAGCAGCTCCATTAAGAAATGAGGAAGTTTGTGCAGCTTAAATTGTGAAGGCCCTCAAATGCTCTGCACAGGGGGCTGTTCTGTCAGAAGAAAGAAGCTCTTGACACATTTTAAGCAAGAGAGAGAACCCTGGGGGCTGGTGGGATAGATGGATTGAGAGTGTGGAGAGGATGGGTCACCCCTGGCCATTAGTCCTGATTATGGCTGAGGAGGCGCTGGTTGGGAACAGACATTGCGGAGACTGAATGCCGCCCTCTTTGTCATTCCAGGTACCTGATCCCTTGCAACCACATGATGCTGAGTCAGAGGTGGGCTGTGAAGGAGAGAGACTGCTACTCGGTGTCTGCGGCCAAGCTGCTCGCCCTGACCCCAGTCTGCTGCTCCAGCGGGATCACCCTGACGCTTGGGAACCAAGAGAGGGATTATATCCTCTGGTCAAAGTGTACGCACGATAGTTCAGGTAGGAACTTGCTGGTGATGCTCTTTAAACAAAAGGATACCAGATTCTGTCTCTCCTGGGGATGTGGGTCTCTTTGAGAAGATGGAGAATAAGACGGTGAGCTCCGCGTCTTTTATGACTATTTCTTTAGGGGTCCTTTTCTGCATCGTAAGGAGTTATGACACTTTGTAGTTAGTGTTCATTTTCATGCCCAGCTGTCACCGATTCCATGCACCCAGACCTTTATTTTAACTAGAATTTCTAGTGTCGCCCTCAGAATCCAAATGTGAAGGAAGACGCATACCACTATGTCTCCTCAAACAAAATAGGGGCGAGGGATGTGGAGATGGAAGAGCTAAGATAGAATTAGCTCTTACTTTAATTTCTGAAATGGCCCATTTGTGGGCGCTTGCCTGTCAAAAATGCATCACCATAAAACTCGAAATTTGTGATACGTCTCATGAAGGTCAAAATTTGGGATACATCAACAGTATCTGAGTCATTTGATTGACCTACAGGAGTGATGTGCTGTTTTCCAGCTGTACTTGATCTTGTACAAGTAAAATGGAAATAGTCACCTATCAGCCTTGGCTCCCTGCAGGCAGCTGGAATGAGGGGGCGTCGTGTCTCTTTAGCGGTCAGAGGGCTGTTTTAGTCCAGGAGGGTTCTGCTATCCTGCCACCACCAGCATGTGGCCCAGTCCTGGTGTTGATTCGGGTGATCCAATCTGTGTTCTGTTCATTCAGGTGTACTTCTGTTAGGCCCCAGTCTGCTTGATTCAGAAAATATCAGCCTATTTGGTATAAATGTAATTTTTAGAAATTAAGGTTGCCATTACTGATTTTTGCTCTTTAAATACACAGTATATGCATGAAAATTAAAAATTTTTGTGGTAGTATAACAAGATGGATTTTAGGTATATTTTCCTGTTGGTTAAACTAATGTGGATTTCTTCGATTTTCCTGCCAAGTAATTATTTTTTAAAAACATATTTGAAACTTGATGTCTTTCTTTACTAAAAATGTTACTTCAAGAATGATTCTGTGGCTGATCTTGCCACAGAATTCAAAATTCAAGTTAAACGGACAATTGTGGAGTGCCTGCAACTTTCTTTCCTTGTGTTATCATATTTAATTCTTCGGAGAAGGTAGGATGCCCAGGTTAGAGATGAAGAAACAAATTCAGAGAGAGGGACTGGCTTGTTCAAGGTTATCTAGCGGCTAGGTCCTCTGTTCTTTCCACTATGCTGCCTCTAGGGTTCCTTACAGCAGACAAATGCTCTAACGGATGGGTGGTTACATAGAAAGAAAGGTAGTTAGGTGGGTGGGGAGATAGATGCTATAATTATTGTGCAGTGGCTAAGAACTAGGATTCTGAATCTTGGGCTCTGCTACTTTCTTGGGCCAATTACTTAACCTTTTAAACTGTTTTCCTCATATATGAAGTAGTACCTGCCTGAAAGTGTTGTTCCAAGGATAAGTGCCCTTGGACATGTAAAGCTTTAGAAGACTACCTGGCATGTAGTAAGTGCTAAATAAATATTGCTAGTATTGTTTTTTAATGTCTTTTTATTTATAGGGGATAAGAGGTCAACACTAACCTTTTAGCAGTAGAACCATAAAAAATGAATTATGTCCACCTTGATGGCCTGAACATGTATATTCCTAAAGGTCCCATTCTGGCCTTGTCTGGAGGAGATTTAGATAATGAGGAGACAAGAAGCTTTCAAAGATGTGGCATCAAGTGAAATAAGAGCAGGGAGTGACAGGAGACAGCCTGTGCTTGAGTGGTGGCTCTGCCACTGACCAGTTAATTGGGTGATCTTACTAGTATGTCTCAGCCTCAATTTCTTTCTTTCTTTTTTTTAGAAGATCTCTTCGTTTTTTAAAAGTATGTTTTTATTTTATTTATTTCAGAGAGGAAGGGAAAGGGAGAGATAGAGTTAGAAACATCAATGATGAGAATCATTGATCGGCTGCCTCCTACATGCCCCCTATTGGGGATCGAGCCCACAACCCAGACACGTGCCCTTGACTGGAATTGTACCTGGGACCCTTCAATCCGCAGGCCGATACTCTGTCCACTGAGCCAAACCAGCTAGGGCTCAGCCTCAATTTCTTAATCTATAAATGCAGAAAATACTATCTACCACATAGGTTGTTGTGAGGATTGAATTAGCACCGATAAAGCACTTGCCACATGGGAGATGTTTAAGGAAACTGCAGAGTATATATTTTTCCTTGTTTGAGTCCTTTTTTCCCCTGAAGTCCCTATTTTTCAGTTCTGCAGTAAAGAACTTGAACATCAAAGGCAGAGTATGGGAACACTTGAAGCATCCTTAGGTGCAAAGAACCATTTTGGTAGCGAATAGGACTTTATCATAAAGAGACCATTTGGTACATATCAACCCCAATAGTTCCCAGGAAGGCAGCACAAGTCAACAGGCTTTTCTAAAAACCCAGTGTTTTCCAGAGAAAATCTGCTCCCCAAATTCATGGATTACAGGCCTTCCACTTTAGGATCAAAGTAAAAATCTTTAAAATCATTACCTACACTGTGGCAGGTACTATATATGATATATTACCTAATTCAATCCTCTCAGCAACCTGAGAGGTTGCCACGATCAGCTCTTATTTCTCTGAGGACTGCTACCAAGTAAGTTTTCCTTTGGAGACAGCCAGTATCTGACTGGCCCCATTGGTTCTACATCTCCTTTGAGGGCAGACTTTCTGCTCTTATCTTTCCTTCTTAAAATCTAAGCATTTTAAATTATTCAGAAATCATTTAATCAGAAATTATCAGAACCAAAGTAGCTGGTGAAAGAAGGTCTCAGCAGCCGAATGAGCCACATCCACGCCCACGGCCTTTGTCCCCCCACCTCTCGGAAGTGTCCGAGCTCATTCATTCTGACTTGCCTCTGCCTCCCGCAGGGCCCCTGGAGCAGCCGCTGCCCGAGGCGTCCTCCCCATCGGCCTGCATCGTGGAGTACGGCAAAGCCCTGGACATCAGCTACCTGCAGTACCTCTGGGAGGCCCACGCCAACATCCTCCACTGCATGAAGGACTGCCGGGTCTGGTCCGCCCTCTACGACGGAGACTCCCCGGACCCTGACACGTTCCTCCAGAGTCTGCCGGAGGAGAGCACCACCAGCCCCGCCTGCCCCGCGCTCAGGCTCAGGCTTCCCCAGCAGCTCCCCAGGGAGACGGGGCCTCAGCTGCCTCCCAGAAAGGACAGGGGCCACACGGAACTGGAGTGGGACGACAGCTATGACACTGGGATCTCCTCGGGGGCCGATCTGGAGAATCCTGGCCCGCCGGCGCCCATCGAGCCCCCCAAACACATCCAGGAGATGAAGAAGAACGCCATCCTGCGCTTCAAAGGGTCCTACATCGAGGAGTCCGACTTTCAGGACGACGTGATGGTGTACAGGTTGTGTGCGGAGAAGGACGCCGAGGACACCAGAAAGTCACAGGAGGAGCCTGCCAGGCCCCCGGCCCAGGGCCAGACCGAGGGGCAGAGTCCCCCCACGAACAACGGCCCCCTGCCCAGCCCTCAGCCAGAGACAGACTCCGAGGAGGAGCAGCACAGGGACAACTCAGACGTGGTTCCCAATGTGTCCGCGGAGCCACCACCAGAGAAGGGGCCCCCGGTGGCCCCGGAATCAAACTCAGAGGCAGCACCCCCTGTCTCCGAGGCAGAGCACGGTGCGGACCTGACAGCGGTTGACCCGGAGGGTGAAGATTTCATTGCCCAGTACGACCAGATCATTAAAGAACTGGACTCTGGCACCCAGGGCTTGATGGGGCAGAATTCCTCTTCCCAGGGTCCTGATCCCTTGCTCCTCCCAGAAGAGCAAGAGGGGAAGGAAGAGAGCAAAGGAGAGCAGGAGGAGGAGGAGGGGAAGAAGGGCCTGGAGGAGGAGGAGGAGGATGACTTTGACTCTCTGATGGCGGAAGCTCCTGCCGAAGAGACCGTGCCCTCCCCCTTTGGGGTGAAAGAGGAGGCTGACTGTGCCAGTCGCCGTCCCGTGAGGACTCAGAGCGCCCCGTTCACAGGTGACCGGCTTAGCTTGCTTTGTAATTTCTGCTTTTGAAAGCACTTGTGCATATTACACAGGAGAGTAAGGTAGGTGGGGCTGAGGGGCATTAGCCATTTACCTAACAGAGGGGAGGAAGTATTTTTATGAAGAGTGGAGAAGGGGTGGTTTCATTTTTTTTTAAATTTTGTCAGTCTTGCCATGATTGTTGTATTTTTTTTCCCCACCAGCAAGTTAGAGGTTAAGTTTTACTGTCATGCCTTTGATAGTAATAGGACTGCTGAAACCACATAAGAAATCCAGTCTCGTTATTGAATAGCCTCGTTTCCTGTAGTCTAATTTATTTTCCTCCTTAGCATTTATTTCATGTGAATTCTCTTAAAAGCACATTCCCCCCTCCCCCCCATTAGAGTGTATGCTCCACGAGGGCCCAGGTGTTGGCTTGCTCTCTGCTCTGTCCCAGCACCTGCACACTGACCAGAGCAGGTGGTCGGCACCCAGAACACTTGCTGTGGACACATCCGGGCCATTGGTTAGTTGGGCCTTTGCCTGGGAGCTCATTTCAGATAATCACAAAATCTTCATCCGAAAATAGGTCCAGGAGACCCACATAAACTCAACTCTGCTACAGAGGGGGTGTCCCAGTGATACACCCTCACCACAGGTAGACTCACGGGAGAGGCAAAGCGATAGGGGAGGATATCAGGTAAGTGGGTGGGGTGAGGGATTATGGAGCAGAATGTCATTAAATATTGGCCAGTAACATCCAAACCTGCACATGGTGAGGCAGAGGGTCAGGCACAGAGGGTTCATCAAGCTCAGGGACCCCGACGGTGTTTGGGTAGCAAGGAGAGGCCCTCAAGGAGCTGGCATCACCGCGGGACAGTGGCCTTGGAGTCGGGCCTCCCGGGGCATCCTGGCTCTGGCACTTTCAGCCACGTGACCTGGTGTCCCCGACCCGCCCTTCTCCCCCGTGAGGACTGAATGTAATACTGGGGGGGTCATTATTAAGGTTGCTGGCAGCCCCAGCAGCCTCGGCTGGTCCTTCCCTGGCAAGTAGGGGCAGCATGGGGAGGAGCGACCTGCTCCCACCTCCTCCAGTCAACCAACACAGAGGGAGTCACATCACCTTCTGGTCCAGCCAGGTAGGCTTCCTGCGGGTTCATGATCCTCCTCCAATACTTATTCTTCTATTTACTGACGCTAAATGGGGAGAAAGCTTTCAATTCCACAATTAAAAGGCTGGAGGTTCTAGTTGAGATAACATTTCAGTGTGAATGGGTTTTAATTAAAATTCAATCAGTCAGTCAATCATAAATAAAAAGGATTAAATGAGCTTAATTTTCCCAGTCGATAGGGAGGAGGAGGGGAGGGAAGGCCCCAGACCAACTGAGGAGGGGCAGAGAGCTCAGTGCAAGGAAAGGGGCAGAGGGACCGCAGGATCGCAGTGTTGCCTGAAGCAGGTCCCCTTGACTCTCACCCAGCGGGAACTCCCAACGGTTCTCCAGGACTCCAGGGCCCTGGGCGAATGACCAGCCTTCCTCAGAATGCCAGCCTTCTATCAAGGAGCCTCATTCCTGGGAAATATGTAAATTGAGGAAACCGAATATAGCTTAGGGCAAAAAAAAAAAAAAGAGCTAATACAATACCGTATTAAATAGCATCAATATTTTGCTTATGATACACCTGAGAGCCAACAAAACGTAGTTTTTTGACATATAGGTCATTTTAACGCATACACAATTCAGGAGACATCTTTACTCTTCCCGAGTATGTGAACTTCGTCCTTGTGTGTTCTGCAGCATTAGGCTGAACGCCCATCTCTGCGGAGGATCCTGGTTTCCGCTGAAATGAGTTTGCCTCTCAGCAAAACCGAAGTTTCCCTTTCATTTATCTAATTGATTTTGTTAGAGACCTTTACGTGGCAGGTCCTATGCTAGGTACTAAAGACACAAAAATGAAGGAGTTTGCGGACTTTTAGAGGAGACATCAACAAAGAACTGAACCCTTTTAGTGAGAAATGCATTGTCAGTCGCTGTGTGCCAAGTCCTGTGGGGGCCCAGGGCAGGGAGCGGGGGAGGCTTCTCGGAGGAGGGCCACAGGGGGCACAGAACTGATGGCAGCTCCTGTTGGAGCCAGGAAATACAGGGGCGGGGATCATATTGAGGCAGGGGAAGGAGCACCTGAGGACAGGGGGGTGAGTGACAGGGAAGGGCAGTAGAGATTGCCGTAGTTCTGAAAAATTACATATCTTATGGCTGTGGAGTTTATCTGTCCTTCTAGAAGAAGAGGGGGATGAACTCTGGATTGCAACCCCAATTTGAAAGCAACTTGATGGGGTTCCATCCAGAACCTCAGAAATGCCACCAGTCACTCTTCCTCAGGCGTCACCCCCATACACACCTGTGGCTTTCTGAATTGTAGCTGTTTTCTGCTTTTCAGCTGCTTACCAGTCCCCCCACCCCCGGAACTGCTTTTAAAGTGCTAGAAATCAACTAAGAATAAAACAGGAGTTTGAAAGGGTTTATGTCTATTTCTTATTGCGCATGGCTATGAAGTGGTAATTAATGTCATTAGTGGCTCATAATGACCGTCTTCTGGCTTTGACCTAATATCCCGTCATTCATGTGAGACAGTGATGGCCCGCTCCCAGGGTGCGATTACTCTGGTTTTCTCTCTGCCCTGGCAGTAGTGTTGGACTACAGATGGTGTGCCCTGGTCACTGCATGGCCAGCCACCTTCATGTTTGGCCGGCTGAGGCCAAGTATAGTCGGGGATGTGCCAGGGAAACTGAGGGTTCACATTAAGGCCATGTGTGTTACCGGAGACTCTCCCCCCCTACACACGGTTTAATTCACCTGTCTGCTCCCTCCGGAAGGAAGCAGGTGCGGAGCCTGGCACTATACATGGGTGGGCAAGAGGGGATGTGAAAGACTGGGTCCGGGTTGAGGAGAGTGAGGACAGCAGCCTCTTGTGGACCCACCTGGAAAGCTAGAACTGCATTGTGATGCCTGAGGACACTTCTGGGGTTCTCGATGGAAGTCCATCAAGATGCTTCAAATTGGGGTTTCAACCCAAGCATATTAATTTTCCTGAATATGTTTGGCAAACACTGCAAGGGCTGTTTTGCAAGCAAGGGCTCTCCAAAGGCTCTCTGTGTGAAGAGTCCATTGACCTTCTGGGCCATCGACTGTGACTGAGGAGCTCAACCCCCATCCCAAGGCTGGGACGTTGAGGCTAAGTTCAGTTCACAAGGGGATGGTGCCTTCTCTGTGTTTTGAGGCCCCTTCGAGACATGCTTTGTGTTCCTGGCAGCGGAACTATTGCCCTGCTACTCGCCCGCCCGCGTAGGAAAGAGGTTTGTGTTTGGTGCGCTCATTTCTCACCACCACGGCTTCTGAACGAAGCTTCTTGTGGTGAAGTTAAACTCATATTAATGTTGGTGACGTCTTCATAAGGCACGTTTATCCATCAAAGGATATGTGCTTTGTTATAAATATGCTATGGTTTCATGGCATCATCAATAGCTCCACTGGGGGAAATACAAAATTCTCATTGATTTTGCTTAATGGACCATTTTTATGGTAAAACTAGGAAATATCTTCCGGTAATTTTATTACTGCCAGATTAATTTTCTGGATTTTTTCCCCTGTCTTCAATGAACTTTAAGCATATTAATTTTCTGGTGACCCAAATTAGTCGAAGCTTCTTTTTTTCTTAATTTTCTTAGGAACTGATTTTTAATGAAATATGGATTTTCTTTTTTTAAGGAAGCTATGACATACCAAACTGTTTCTCCCCAGATGAAGTCCTTTCTCTCCCTTCCTCCCATCTGAAAATTGAAGGGTGGTTACCAAGTTGCTCAGGGCTACCTGCCTCGTTTACCTTGTCTTTCTCTCCTTGTCCTTCCGAACTGTGACATTTGACAAGACAATCTTTCTCACAGTACTTGTTGGGGACAGACTGCCCTCGTTCACAGTGTAACTGTCTGATAAACACAGTTCATATGTGTGTGCTATTCTTTAATAGCACAAAGATTTTTTTGTTATCCAAACTTGTGGCCTCTCATGTTTGTATGAAACCCTACAACAGTGATGGCGAACCTTTTGAGCTCAGCGTGTCAGCATTTTGAAAAACCCTAACTTAACTCTGGTGCCATGTCACATATAGAAATTTTTTGATATTTGCAACCATAGTAAAACAAAGACTTATATTTTTGATATTTATTTTATATATTTAAATGCCATTTAACAAAGAAAAATCAACCAAAAAAATGAGTTCGCGTGTCACCTCTGACACGCGTGTCATAGGTTCGCCATCACTGCCCTACAACATGCTGGGTCATGAGCTGAAAAACGTCATGGCTTTGAGCATAGGCAGCACCGAGTACAGAAACAGTGTGGAAAAGTGTATCTTAAGTTTAAAAATTAAATTATCTGTCAAGGTCTATGATAGTTTCCCAAGTGTTAAAAGTGCTCATGGAGTCAAGATAGTAGCTCCCATGCCCATTTGCCTGCTCTCCTTTTTGGCGGTGGCTTGTTGTGTGCTTGGGTTTGAGGCAGGGGAAGACCCGGCTGCCTTTCCCGTGTCTGCATTGGACTTGCACCTGGCGGGGCTGTGGTTTGGGAGCTGTGGCCCCCGTGGCTGCCCTGTGCCCGCCAGCCCTGAAGCCCGTGTCCCTCCCTCAGGCCCGTTCATCAGCGTGGTCCTGTCGAAGCTGGAGAACATGCTGGAGAACTCCTTGCACGTTAATTTGCTGCTCATCGGGATCATTACGCAGCTGGCCAGCTACCCGCAGCCACTCCTGCGCTCCTTTCTGCTCAACACCAACATGGTCTTCCAGCCAAGCGTCCGCTCTCTCTACCAGGTGCGCTAGCTGAGCCCACATCCACCCCTGTTGATTTTACGGGTGCTGATGAGCAGGGCTCCTCCCCTCCTTCCCCTGTTATTTTGTGTGTGTTTTTAAAAAAATTCCTCTGTTCTCATTCATTTGCTCTCCTTCCTCATCCTGTTTTGCTAGTTGTGTGTAAATTATTCTAGCAAATAGCAAAACTTCATTTAGTTTGATGTTTAGAGGGTGCCCTACCAAAACACCCTGGCGGGTCAGACGGAGGGCCGCCCCTGAGAGAGAGATTGACAACTGGGGCTAGAATTCCATTTGAAGCATTAACATCATTAATGCCCTTTTAACAGGTCCTAGCATCTGTGAAAAACAAGATTGAACAGTTTGCTTCTATGGAGAGAGACTTCCCAGGGCTCCTCATACAAGCCCAGCAATACCTGCTCTTCCGAGTGGACATGTCCGACGTGACAGCTGAGTCGCTAACCAAAGGTGAGCCGGCTTCTCCCCTGCGTCTCTCCTTCTCCTGCGCCTCCATTTCCCCGCCTCCCCATCTGGGTTCAAAGATGCTGCATAGGCTCCTGGGCTCTAAAGCATTTAAATTGTATTTTCTTTTTTATGCAACTGCAAGGAGTTTCCTGTTAGTGTTCTTAAGCCTAAAGAAAGGTCTGCCAGCCCACACCCGGCCCATTCGCCTGTTTGGAGGGTCTAGCGGGCATTTGCTTCCGTAGGGAAGGAGTGATGTGTGGGTTGTCGTAGGCCTGGAATAAATAACTCAGTGCCTCCAGGCGGGAGGCATTCCTTGCACACCCTGAACCATGTCATGGCCAGCCCTACCCTGAGGAGGACATTGTTCTCTTCATTGTTTTCAGAGACTCTTGGGCCCCAAATAAATGTGCTTCAGGGCTCTAGAAGGTAAAAACTATTCATTTGGACTGGGAGAAGGAAAGTTTATGCTCCGCTTAAAGTTCCTGAAGGTGACTTTTCATCAGCTCACGGGGCCTGCCTGGCAAGGTGGGCAGGGAGGGTGGTGGGTGGGTGCCCCGCAGGAGAACTGAGGTCATCCTGCTGGCTGGCCAGCCTGGGGAGCACCGCGCTTTTCTTGGCTTAAGCTCAGCTTGGACAGATTGAATGGCCGGTTGTCCTCCAAGCTACCACTGTGGCCTGGGGGAGTGCAGATCAGGAAATGCCCCGTGTTTTCCTTGGGTCTGAAAAGCTGCAACCCAGCATTTTAAAGACTAAGACTAGTGGTGAGAGTGGGGTTCTCAGTCTTGGGCTAAAGGCTTGTGATCAGATACTGGCTCCCATAGGCAGAAATCTACCTCAGGGCAATTTTTAACCCTTTAAGGGAAACTCCGAAGGCTGACCTTGCCTCTGTGCAGCTCTTTGATCTTAGTCACTGCGCCTCACCAAGGCCTCAGGTTCCTTGACTCTTAAGTGAAGAATTTGTTTTTCTTCTCTGACTTCCTCTGTGGCTGTAGAACTCTGGGTGTGAAGAGCCCTTAGGGCATCGCAAGGCAGATTTTGCAAGAAAGGTGGGCCTTGTGCCACTGGGCGGGGAGCTTCAGGCTTTGGCCTAGAGGACAGCAGGCAGGCCATTCGTGGAGGGAAAGGAGCCTATGGGAAGGAGGACTGCAGGCCCATGCGGCCTCTGCTAGCCACCTGCACAGCCGGTCTGTTAGCTGTGTTCCCCCTGAATGGGGAGGGTGTTACCACATCTCACCCTGTGAGAGAGGGTGCGTCAGTTAGCTCCTGTGCATACCAAGCCATTGCACAAACAGTGGGTTCATAGAAAGCCATTCATGAGGACTCAGAGTCTGCATGGTCGCCTGGGCCGGGCTTGGCTGAGTTTGGCTCGTGGGCTGCTGTCTGCAGGTGGCTGGTGTCTGGGATGGCCTCAGTCACATGGGTGGCTGCTGGCTGGGCGATGGGGATGGCAGGGGTGTGTGTTTCTCCTCATCCAGCGGGTTAGCCCTGCTGGTCAAATGTCATAGCCACGGGGCTGCAGTGAGAGCAGGAACACAGAAAATTTTTTGAGGCTCTGGAATCCTTCATGCTGTTGGCCAAAGTCCCCGGGCAGCCCCGGTCCAAGAGCAGCAAACCCCCACCTCTTGATGGGAAGAGCTGCAAAAAGGTTGGCCAGTCTTTCAGTCTACCAGGCAGGAGGTGACTTCAGTTCCTTACATTACACTCCAGACTTGGTCTTCCTTTGTATTTCATAGTTTGTAAAGTGCTTTCCCAGACGGTCAATTTTTATTTTCCAACAGCACTGCGAAATGGGCAAGAAAGGTACTGTGAGGTTCATTTTCATATAAGGAAGCTGAGAGTGGGGGCCCAGGGTAGTCAGGCGGGATCATGAGGCCCAGGTGCCTGAGACTGTCTGCCTCGTTCACGGGCTGAGTGCACACACGCTGACTGACGTCAGAGGTGTGTGACATCAGAGGTGCGTGTTCTGGTGAAGGATGGGGTCACTCACACCTGGTGCTTTGTTCAGGCTTCAGACCAATGGCTGTGGCCACCAGATATGTGTCCAGGGGGGCTTGTTCCCACGTGATGCTGTCAAATTAATCAGCTATGGCTGATGCTTTTCCAAGTCTGTGACACTTGGGACTTTGCTTAGTGGGACTTCTCTTGGGATCTAAGACTTTCCTTTTGTGGAGTTTCTCCACATTAACTTCTCTCAGGTTAGCCAAGTGGCAGCCTCCGCTCCACTTGAAAAAATTCAGACTCCCAGAAGGAGGAAGGCCCTGGCCCCGTGCAGAGCAGACTTCTGAAGCAGGTGCTGCCTAGGAGCCGAGTCCAGGAGCGCTCTCCCTGGGCACACAACAACGTGTAATGAGGAGTCCCGGGAAGAGGTCAAACGCTGGGCGTCCCATGTTCGTGTCTGTGCTCTGTCTGACATTGCTGACCAGGAGCAGAGCGGTAACGATTGCTCTCCTAACTTCTGAAAGCTTTCCAGGATTAGTCTTGAAAATGCTGGGTTGCAGCTTTTCAGACCCAAGTCAACGTTTCTGAAAACCACTCCTGACCCCGACATTGATCTGTGCTTCCCTTCCTCCGGCCTCTGTGCACGTGCTTTATGAGGGTGTGGTCAGGCGCCGGCAGCCAGAGCTGCTCCGTCAGGCAGGCCATGTTCCCTCAGCCTCTTGGCGGCCCCAAGAGAAAAAGAGCCTCCTCACTACCCTTTAAATAGGTTGTGTGACCACCGCTGCAGAGCCCATGGACTTCCCGTGTAGCCATCCCATTGTCGCCTTGTCTCTGAGGCTCAGCCATTTCCCAGGCTTTTTATTTCCCCCTCGAATACTTTCTAAAGCACAGGAGCCGTGTCTACTTATATTCGGAGTCCTCTCCCTGGTCTCTAGTTCTGGGAGGGAGGTGAGGTAGGTATTGGTCCCATTTTACAGAAGAGGAAACCGAGACATTATATAAGCTACTTGCCAGGGAGGGACCACACCTCTGGCTTTCTTGCTTTGAGTTGAGAGCCCGATGGGGCTGTGTGACCTATTGGAAGGCTGGTCCCGTGCTGATAGGACAGAGCTCCCGTAAGGCTTCCCTGCCAGACCTGGTCCCCCTCAGTGGGGGCCACCTGCTGTCTATAGTGAAGACAGTTTGGAGTCTCGGATTCAAGCTGGGTAAATGAGCCTTAGCGATGACACTTTTTAAATTCATGGGTTAAGCTACATAAATGAGCAACAAAAACCCCTTTTTTTGGGAGGGGGGGGAAGAAGAGTGAATTTGAGAGAGAAAGATGGAGATCAGGAATATGAACCAGCTCCAGGGAGATCAATGTAGGGAAGACCTGATGTTGGTCAGTTTCTTCCCTCATTCATCCAGCAAATGTTCATTAGCTTCTATTATGAGTAAAGAAGTGTGTGGGGCCAGGAAAGACACATTGAGTAGGGGCTCAGCTCTCAGAAATCTCAGAGTCTCCCAGAGGAAGAAAAACATAACAGCAATGCAGGTGCTATTTGGAAAATAAGATGGGGTGGGAGGCTAATCAGAGAATTCCTCCCAGGGGCAGGAAACAGGAAGTGCTTTGTAAAGTCAGTGGCAGCTGAATTAATGACGACACATGGCTGACACCTATCAAGAGGCCCCTGTGTACATTATACCTATTGACTCATTTCATCCTTACAACTCTGAGCTTTGCACAGATGAGGACATTACAGTGCAGAGAGGTAAAGAAAGTTGCCTGATGTTACTCAGCCAGCAGGTGGCACAGTCTGCTCTCCACCGCAGTACTGGAGTCTCTTAAGGCTAGTGATGGAAGTGTGGGGGCGGGAATTCCAGGTGCGGAGCCAGTGTGAGAGCAGGTCTTGGTCTGGGATTAGTGCCCACGTGTCCCATTCCCCACAGCATCCTTCGTGAGCCTCATGGAACCCTTGGAGAGATGCAGTGCTGGGAGTTGGGGTGGGGCTGCTGAGTGGGTGTCTCCATGGTTGGTGAGAGGACCTCAGTGACATCAACTCTTCGGTCATCACTCTGATGTCAGGACACGCTGTGGGCTTCTGCTGAAGGGTACCAGCGGATTCTCTTCCAGTTCTTTACGGCACGAACTGTGATAAGCTTTAATCAAAAAGGATATTTAAAGCAGTAAAGTGAAGGATTTTTTTTTTAACACTAAAGATGATAGTAGTGAGATATGGAAAGTACTATAAATGTCAAGAATTTTTAGTACTGTAGTTAAGCGACACTCTTCTCGGAGTGTTAAAAATGGGACTGGAATTCTGAAAAGCAGCCAAAATAATGAAGAGCTTGAATATAATGATTTATGAGGAGTAATGAGACTGTTTGAGTAGGGGGCAGAAGAAGGCATAAATAACTCCAATAACTATATGAAGGCTGGAGATGTTCAGGAATTAAATAGTCCGGAAAGTTGAACCATTTTAATTAGTGAAACTGCTTTGATATGAAAATTCAAATCACTTGAATATGTTCAAGGTTGGGCTCATTATCATCTGAGACCTATGTTACTGAAACTGAGATAGAAACCCCTGGAAACCTTCCTTTAAGGGAGGCTCCCAAGCCACTTGTCACCAGATGCCCACAGTTATGGGAAGTGCCCAGTCTGGTCTTCCCAGCACCCAACTTCCTCTCCATCATTTCCAACATTTCAGTGGCTTCTTTCAACCTATCCTCCACTGAAGGCTGGAGGTCCCAGCCAGAAGGGGCTTGCTGGGGGTGGGGAGGGAGTGTCATCATGGAGCCCCAGAGGTGGGAGCATGAGCTGCAGAGCTTGCAGTGGTTGTGGCCCCGCCTTCCCCCTGCAACAGTGCTATGAGGCCCCGCCTCCCCCTGCAGCAGTGGTGTGGCCCCGCCTCCCCCTGCAGCAGTGCTGTGTGGCTCCGCCTCCCCCTGTAGCAGTGTTGTGTGGCCCTGCCTCCCCCTGTAGCAGTGCTGTGTGGCCCCGCCTCCCCCTGCAGCAGTGCTGTGTGCTGGGGCTTTGCCGGCACAGGTAGGGCAGTCTCCCAACATGGGAGGTTGGGAGAGCAGGTGGAGCCCCTGGATGTCCTATTACCATCGTGCTGAGCTAAGTCGTCACTTGGTTGGTGCAATGGCAGGAGATGCCTTTTTCTGTCTTTTTTTAAAAAATATATTTTTATTGATTTCAGAGAGGAAGGAAGAGGGAGAGAGAGAGAGAAACATCAATGATGAGAGAGAATCACTGGTCGGCAGGAGATGCCTTTTTCAACCTTTCCCTTTGCCAAGTCCTAGGCATGGGGGTTCCTGATAAACCTACATTCTTGTCACACTCTCTTATATAGGCTTTTGGATTAAAGCCTAATATCTCATGCCCTGTGATGGAGGTCATCTGCTGGGCACGTGTGTGAGCCACCGAGTGGACTAGTGTGTGTTCAGGGCTGTCTTCAGGCTTCAGTCAGTCACAGGAACTGGACCCAACACTCCCCACCCGCCTCCTTCCCCTCAAACACACACTTGCGAGGGTGGAGGTAAAGGGCTCTGGAGGGTCCCCGTGACCATCTGCTTTCTGGTTTCAGATCCCACTCAGGATGCTTCCAGGACGGGAGCTGGCCGGAGCCTTCTGGATGGTCCCCCAAGAGTGCTCCAGCCCTTCCTGACAAGCAGAGCCGCGGTGGCGGGGGTGCCGCCAAGCCTGCCCCTGCCGGTGAGGAACACCATGCTGGCCGCGGCCCTCTTCCCCGAGTTCCTGAAGGAACTGGCTGCCTTGGCCCAGGAACACTCCGTTCTCTGCTACAAGATCCTGGGGGACTTTGAGGACTCCTATTGTTAGCTTTTTTTTTTTTTAAATAGAGGTTCTTGTTTTTTAAGGTTTTAGTGTCTTGACTGAATGTTAAATGCAAAGCTGCTTACAAAGATTTCTACTTTGATGTTTCCTGACAATACTTGATTTGTGGGGAGGGGACCTTCTGGGCACCTCCTCTCTCTTGCTGGGCCTTCCCACCCTGCGTCACACAGAATGTAAGTCTCATAAGCTGGCTGCTCCTTGGGCGGGTTTTCTTTGCTCAGTTTTTCCTCCTCAAATTTTTTGGTTGTTATTCTCTCATCCCTTTGAGTCGACTCACCTTGCAGCGTAGAGCACACCAAGCGAATATGGGGGTTCAGTGTCTTCTGGAAGTACCCCTTGTCAGGTCGGCTCTTCAGTGGCACGTGAAGAAAGCACACCTGTTCCTGTTGCCTTCTGCATTTTGGCTTCCATTTCATCAAAGGGAAGAATAAAAATGGAGCCTCCATCAAGTAAGCACGTATCATCTGTCCCTTGGCATTTTATGTCCAAGACTCGCTTTCTGCCCAACATAGATTGCTTATGGTGCAGGCAAATCCATTGGTCTCAGCTGTCTGCTGGGAGGCTGATGCGGTTGGAGAGAATTTGGGATGCAGGGAAATGTTCTTGTTGCTGGAGAGATTATTTGGCATGCCACCTAAACACTAGCCTTATCTTAGTCAGATTTGCACAAAATGAAATACACCTATGCAAACTGTTTCTTTGGTTTTTAGGATTTTGCTCAGAAGAAAGCATGCGATCATGTGCTTACATAAGACAGCCATCATTATTTTTTGAAGTGTTTTATGAAAACCAGATTAATTTGTGGAGCTATTTCATAGCAGGGTTTTTTGTGTTTTTTTTGATGTGTTTGTGTGGGGAATATGGAGGGAAAAAGATAAACTAAATGCAGCCTGTAGAATCACTGCTAATTATTTAAATTTTACTTGCTTTTCCTAACGTGTTGCACTTCGTAGAGAACCAGGAACTGTACACCTGCTTTGGGAATTGGGATGCAAATGCAAACAGGTCGCAGGGAGCCCTGCAAAGCCAAGTGTCTGCCAGTGACTCACTCCACGCGGAATCACTGCCTCCTGAATAATGGGGTTCATTGCAAGACCCCAGTGTGATGTGTTAATGCCTCTCTGCTGCTTTTCAGCTTGCTCCGAGAGGAGTAATTATAAGTAGAGCCACAGTCTCCTTCAACCATCACCAAGAGTGGGAAACACACAAGATAACTGTGGGCTAAAAATGAGACCCTAAACAACTGGTATTGATGGATATTCAATTCTGCTTCTCTCGATTAGGGGCAGGTGAGAAGCACCTACAAGGATGAGCCTCCTGTGTGGAGGGACGTCCGAAGCCCCAGGTCTCTCTGTGTCTGTGGTGTGACTGCTGAGC